AAAAGGCAGCAGAGTAAATTAATGATTGTGGATATCTCTAGAGAAATAGAGATAGAGATAGATAGATAGATAGATAGATAGAGAGAGAGAACAGGCAGAAAGCGAGAAAGAGAGAGAAAGAAAGCGAAAAAGAGTGAGAAAGAAAGCAGAGAGAAAGAAAGCGAGAAACGATAGAAAAAGAAAGAGCTAGAGCAAGAGAAAGAGAAAGAGCTACCCTCAAGCCCCCCCCCCCTCCTTATCAGTGGCATCCCCGCACGAAGCTGAGCTCAAACGATTCTCTTCCCAGTAAATGTTACCCAATATGCACTCTCTCTTCTCCGCATTTTGTTTGTTTGTTTGTTTTTCATAGTCCGGGGAGGTGGTGGGGAGGGGGAAGGGGAGAAAAGGAAGAAGAGAGAGAAGAAGGGACGTAAGGAAAGATGGAAGCAGGTTAGGAGGGAAGGGAAGGGAAACGAGACTGCGAAAGAAAAGAAGGGTGGATGGAAGAAGGAAGAAAGGAAGAAAGAAGGAAAGAATGACGTAGGAGGGAAAGAGGGATGAATGAACGCGTGAGAGTAAACTGAAAAGAAAGACACAATAAAAAAAGACAAGGAGAGTTAAGGAGAGAGTGAACAAATAGAAAGAGAGAGAGATAGCTAGATAGAAAGATAAATAGAGAAAGAGAGAGAGAGAAAAGAGAAGAAGAAGGATCAAATGACCGTGCCAAGAGAAGATACCGAGGGACATAAAAAAAGCACCAAAATACATACCTTACTTCAGAGTTAATTCCTATCTTTTACCAACCCCCACCCGCATCCATACCCCCAAAAAATATAATAAATAAATAAATAAAAGAATACCGCTACGGCCCAAACAAAACCCACCTCCATCCCATCCACTTTCCATAATTCCCCCTTCACCTCTCACTATACCCAAACTATCTCTCACCAAAAGAATTTTTTTTTTTTATTCCCCCCCCTATTTTTTTTTTTTTTTATTCTACCTCCCCCATAAATTTCCCCTCACACCCCATATAATAAATAATATTATTACATTATTTATTTTTAACCTCGTTATCTTTTATATTTTTTTCCCCTTTTTTCTTTCCCTTAACCTACTTATTACCCTCACCCTCTATTTATTATGACCTTCCATGTCCCCTCCCCACTTAGCCCTTATTTTCCTACTCCCCATCTCGATCCCCACAACCGCACCTATCCCCCTCTTCTATACCCCTGCTCAAGCCACCTACCACTACTTACCCACCTCCTTCCCCTTCAAGCCCCTTCCCCTTTCCACCTCCCTCCAAACGACCCCTTCCCCTCCTCCCCCTCTATTCCCCCATCAAGCCTCCATTCCTAAAGCCCCCCCTCCTTCGCCCCCCTCCCCTATCCCCCCTCCATCGTCCCCTGTCTCCCCTTGATGAAGTGGCCATTCCGGAAAGCAAGGTTATGTTCTTGTTTTGACTTAGATGGGAAAATGCGAGAAGAACAGGGCTGCTTTGGCTTTTTATCTCTCTCTTCGCTCTCTTTCTCAATTCTCGCCTATTCTTCTCCTTCTTTCGCTCTCTGTTTCTTCATTCTCGCCTTCTCTCTCTCTCTCGCCTCTCTGTTTCTCATTCTCGCTCTCTGCCTTTTCTCTCTCTCTCTCTCTCCTCTGCTCTCTCTCTCTCTCTCTCATCTCTCTCTCTCTCTCTCTCTCTCTCTCTCTCTCTCTCCTCTCTTCTCGTCATCTCCTCTTGTATGTTGTTTCTCAGTTCCTCATGCTCGCCCTCTTTCTCTCTCTCTGTTTCTCATTCTCGCCTTCTCTTTCTCTCTCCTCTGTTTCTCATTCTCGCCTTCTCTCTCTCTCTCTGTTTCTCATTCTGTGCCCTCTCTCACTCAAAGTCTGGCTTTCTGTGTTCCTCTCTCCTTAATCTTTCCTTTCTTTCACCTCCCCATTCTCTTATATCCTTCTTATATAACCTCCTCCCATTTCTGTTCTCCTTCATCCTTTCTCCTTTCTCTCTCCCTCCCTCCAACCTCGACCTCTTTCTCTTCCCTTCCCTCCCTTCCCCTTTTTCCCACCCCCTTCATATATCTTCCTTCTCCACTCTCTCGTCTCCCTCCCTTTCTCCCTTTCTCCCTTCCACCCCTTTCACCATCCTTGCTTTAAATGACGATAACCAAGAGGCTCCGAGACATTAATAAGGCGCTGGACATGTGGCTTGGAAACGCTATGCCAGCCGTAAGTGACATGACAAAGACTCGCAGAAACTCCCCTCTAGACCACAATCAACAATAGCCAATAACATATAATAAAATAATAATAATAATAATAATAATAAATAACAATAAATAATAATAACAATAATAATAATAATAGATAATAATTAATTAATATTAAATAATCAGTGAATAAAAAACATAACAGTAAATAATAAAAAATAGCCGTATAATGATAACATAATAATGATAATAATGATAATAATATAATAATAATAATAATGAATAATAATAATAATAATATATACAATTAACTAACAATAATAAGTAAAATGATACGTAATATAAAAATTAATAATAATAAAATAAATAATATAAAATAATAATGAATTAAAATCATAATGAAATAGCTTGATAACACCACTAATACCAATAATACTAAACATACTAACTAATAATAACAAATAATAATTAATAATAATAATCATAATTACCGCATCAATCCTTAACCAATATAATGATCAACTACTAATAATAACAATATATAATAATGAATAACACGCTCTATTACCGCGTAGTAGTAATAGTAATGGGAAGCGGATAAAAATACTAATATTATTAATGTAAATGTGATAATAATATATATTATTATAACAACTGATAACGGTAATGCAAGTAATAACAATAGTAATAGTAATGGTAAATTACTCATAATGATAATGATGATGATGCTAATAATGATGACAAAAGCAAAAGCAAAATATTATGTTGATAATAATACCATAAATATAATAATAAAACAGAACCTGAGGCATGTGTGTGTGTGTATATATATATATATATTATATATATATATATATTATATATATATATATATATATATATATATATATATATATAATATATATATATATATATATATATATATATACATATACATACATACATAAACCGCCCATAAAACCAGAACCAATCCGGTACTCCCGCACAGAACTCCCTCCACCCTCCTCCTCTCCCTCCCACCTCCCCCCCCCCCCCTCCTTCCCCCCACTCTCTTTCATTTCCCTCCTCCTTTCACAGCGCGTGGGAACAGCGGCGAAACCGCCTGCCCCCACTGCGGCGCCAACCGGACATCCCCGTGCTCGCGGGGCAGATCTCGGCGCGGGAGGAACTGTCGTCATATTCGGGCGGAAAGGGCGAGCGAACGAAGGGATTTCCGAGAGAAGGGAGGAGGGAGAGACAAAGAGAAAGATGAAGGGAAGGAGTAGGGATTTTCGAGGCGAGGACGAAAGGGAGGAGGGAGGAGGGAGAGGAGGGAGAAGGAGGGACGAAAGGGAGGACGAGAGGGGGAAGAGGGGGGAGAGGGAGAGAGAGGAAGGGAAGGAGTAGGGATTTTCGAGGCGAGGACGAAAGGGAGGAGGGAGAAGAGGATGGAAGGAGTGAGGCAAGAGAGAGGAAAGAAGTAAAGGAGAGAAAGAGAGGGAGGGAAGAAGAGAAATGAGGGAAAGAGAGAGAGAGGAGAGAGAGAGAGAGAGAGAGAGAGAGAGAGAGAGAGAGAGAGAGAGAGAGAGAGAGAGAGAGAGAGAGAGAGAAATCGGAATGAGCAATGCAAAGAAAATTTCTGTATTTCAAACATTACAGAAGATAAAAGAAAAAAAATACTTTACTCATAACAAACTACCTGTTGCCATTAACATTTCGTGATCAAATCCAATATCAATAATGTATACTTCATGACTCCGTGTTGGTGATATTTCGACTTCTTTCAATTTAAACGGAAACAAAGAAAAAGAAAAAGAAAAAATCGAAAACATTTCCAACAAATATTACATTCACATACACTCACTCACTCACTCAACTCACTCACTCACTCACTCACTCACTCACTCACTCTCTCACTCTCTCTCTCTCTCTCTCTCTCTCTCTCTCTCTCTCTCTCTCTCTCTCTCTCTCTCTCTCTCTCTCTCTCTCTCTCTCTCTCTCTCTCTCTCTCTCGCATAAAGGAAAAAGGCAATTCACAGTTTTATTATCAATGCTACCGCAACCAATATATCACTTGGAGGCCATAAATAACTGTAATATGAGAGATTTTTTTTCTCTGCCCCACTTTGCAACTCAATCCCTTAACATATATATTATCATATCAATTCCAATACATATACATACATACATACATACATACATAACATACATACACAACACACACACACACAACATATGTATATATATATATATATATATATATATATATATATATATATATATATGGTTATGTGTGTGTGTGTGTGTGTGTGTGTGTGTATGTTTGTGAGTGTGTGTGTGTGCGTGTGTATTTGCATATATACAAATATATATAAATATATTCAAACTCACATAGATACACATGTATACAAACATAATCATCACATGGTCTCTCTACTTAATGTTCGGCTGAAAAGCAAAACCATTTTTTTATCACTTCCTACATCGCCTTCCCATCGAAAAAACAAACAAACAAACAAACAAACACGAAATCCTCAAACTGCACACGAACAAACAGCACACGACAACAACCCTAAGCGACAACCATAACTAAAAAATACAACACAACCAACAAACAAACAAAAGAAGAAGGGAAGAACAAACAAAAACAAAACACACAAACAAACGAAAAGGGAAGAACGCACGCAAGAAAGAAAGAAAAAGAGAAAAGCGCCTTTGCTTTCCTTGGCACTTGAGCTCATAACGAGTCCCTTGCTCGCTCGACCCCTGTAGTAGCTTCGGCTTGTCGAGGTATGTTGCTCAAGTTATTGGCTGCGCTCGCTGGTATATCTCGCCATGGTGTATCATAGCCTGGTATATCACAGGATGGTATTTCAAGCCTGGTATATTTTGGCCTAGTATGTCTTAGGATGGTATATCACAGGATGGTATATCTCAGCATTTTATCTCGAAGCCTGGTATATTTTCAGCTTGTATGTCTTAGGAGGTATCTCGGATGGTAATCTCAAACCCTGGTATATTTCAGGGTGGTATATCACGGCTTGGTATATCTTAGCTTAGTGTGTCTTGGGACTCTATATCTCGTCTTGGCATATCAATCCCCTGGTATATTTCACGGTGGTATATCACATCATGGTATACCAATGACTTGTATATCTCACGAGCATATCACAGGATGGTATATCTCCCCATTGTGATATTCTTATATCATAATCTGTGGTGTTTCTATTTCTTTCTATTCCTTTTCTTACCTCTGTTTCTTGTTCTCATATCTCTCATCTCTTCATTCTCTCATCTTCTCATCTCCCTCCTCTCCCTTTTCGTCAAACAACTCTCTACCTCACTCCTTCTCTTAATTAGAATAAACATTTTGTTTTCGCGCCAACGTCATCACATTCAGTCTATGTTTTCTCTTCCTATTATCAATTCACTTCTCATTCGGCACTCAAGCCAAAACAAAAGAAGGAAAGAAAGCGTAAGGCAAATAAAAGGGAATTGAACAATCATTAAAAAAAGAGATTTTCGACAGAATATCAAATGTATTATAAATCATAATCATCACACACAGGACACAGAACACACACACACACACACACACCACAACCACACACACACACAATGACGCACACACACAACACACACACACACACAGCACACACACACACACCACACACACACACACACACACACAACACACACACACACACACACCACACACACACACACCACACACACACACACACACACACACACACACACACACACATTGAATTTCAAAAGAAAACTTTGAAAGCGCCAGAAATCACTCATTCAAAATGCAAAGTCCAACGCCAATGCCCTGATCAGTGGGAGATGAGATTAGGAAAACTATATATTGGAAAATTTTTTTTTTTCGAGATTGAACTAATCTGATGCTGAATGCAGTGGGAGCTTCATCGTGACGATCCAAGACTGGGACGT